TAAAAAATATTTATAATTTAATTTTTGTATTATAAATTTATTTATTTAATTATATTGTTAATAATATAATATGTATATTATTTTTATTATATTATATAGATAAATAGGCCATTCTATTAAGTCTAACATACTTTTTTATAAGTCTAAGTGTGACCTTTTTAAATAAATAGGATTTTTTAAAGTCAAAGTCTGACATTTTTATTAAATAGGCCAGACTTCGAATATGTTAGGTCATAGAATCCTATTTAAAGTCTGATCTATTCTCATCCCTAAATATAAGAGTGTACAAGGAGAATTGGAGTCAAATTATCTAACCAAGGTGGCTTGGGGATCCTTTCTACTCATGCACAAAATATAGCTTAGCAAGGTAAATTAATTTTGGATTTTTTGTATGTGCCGAGCAAGCTTTAGATTTTGATTCTTTCATAAAAGTATTTGAAACAAAGAAATACCTTATTTGTGGGTAATAAGAAAGAATATAGTATCTAGACTTCTATTTTTCATGCTCTTCAAAGTTGGGAATGGAACCACTTGTTTTTGGCACAAAACTTGAGCACTTAAGAACCTATTTGCGTGTAAGTTCCTTAAGTGGATATTCATGATACTAATCTATGTATTTGTGATGTATGGAATAATGTAAGTGGGAATTTTAGAATTTTTTTATGGAATCATGCCCAAGGATCCAAGTCCAAAAAGAACCAAAAGGAGTGAACTAGGCATAAAGGAAGAAGACTCAAACTCAAGTTGAGCTTTGGATTACTTATTTGTAGTTCATATCTTCTTCTTTGTAAATAATTTTTCTTTTTTCTTTTACCTTGTATTTTGGATCAATTAAAATATAAATTTATTTCTTATAATTTTTCCTTTAGAGGTATACCTAGTATTCTATGGGGGGTTGCAACTAATAATTGAAAAATGTGTTAATTGAGCTTGTTTAGGCCAAGAGATGAAGGAGAACATTTGTTATGAGAGTGGACATCCATTTTGGGCTCTCTACACCCTCCCATTGGCTTTACACAATCCCACCTAGTCATATGTTCCACACTTGGTCACACATTTTTACATGTTTACTTCTACACCCTATTTCTTACTCCTACACTCTCATCACACCTACTACACCTTGTCATATGTTTCTCATTGGCTAGTGTGAATTTAATGATTAGGAAGCCAAAATTCGAATTCCAAAATTGAAATTGAAATTTGAAAAACCTTGGTTAGTTAGATTGATAACAAGTTAATTGAGCATAGTTTACTTAACTTGCACTACAAGCTAACCAAGCCTATATATATGTGTGTATGATCTCCATGTGATTCCTCATTTTTTAGCATATATGAGATTGAAATTGAGTTTTCTTTCAAATTCAAGAGTCTTTGAGTTTCTCTAATAAAGTGTGACTCCATATGCAACTCTTATCAAGGATCCTTTCCTTGTGGTGAGAAACCTTCTAGACTTATCTTCTCCTTGAGAAGTGGTATCTCCATCCTTTGTCTCCTTCATCGTTTTCAAGTTTATTCTTCAACGAGGCACCTCATCGATGAATGATCTTGGGAGTGGAAGAAGATTTAAAGAGTTTTTCATCACTCTTAAAAGCTTGTTCCATTAGTTTTAATAGGTGTATAATAAATAACATTTTATTATGATGAAATTTAAGTAAGAAAACAATTATTTTGGTGATGCAAGTGACATTTGTGTATGTAACAAAATCTACTTTTGTAGATAATAGATAATAAATAAGAAGATTCATTATAAAATACATATTAGGAATGTAAAATTTTCCTCTTCATGAAAAGAAAGTATTTAATTGAGAATGAATTAGAGAGTAAGGAGATAAAGTAGAAACTTAATGGGTTAGTGTAGTGGTTAAACATTTTGTGTAAACGTATTATGGAGATGATCTATTTAGTGGGAAATCCATGTTCAATCTCTATCATGTGCGAAAATTGGTTGGGTCAATAGTAGTCACAATATCATGAGTAGGGTTAGTATTTATTCACCTAATGGATTGGGGGATACCCATGATAGGACTAAAAACAAGAGAGTAAGGAGAAGAAAATATTTAATCGAAAATGAATAGGACAAGGTGGAGCTTTGCAACATATATATAGTGATTGCATTAAATTATTCAAAATTGATTTTATTAAAATTAATTCTACCAAATATAACCAACCTTATACATTAATTACTGGTAAAAAAAATCATATAAATTAATCAAAAGAACTTTAATTATCACAAGTAGAGTTTTCAATTTGAACTTGGTCTATTGGATTGACCTAAACAACTAACAAATAATGTCAGATGGGGCTTGAAAATTGGTGGCCCTAATGGAGGTGAGACTTTTTAACTCGCCCTATTTTGCACGGTGGGCCAAATTGGGTAGAACCAAGCAGTCCAAATGACTATATAAAAATAATAATATAATACGAATATGTATAATAATTATGATTTTAAATAGTTGTAAACAAAAAATAAAGGTTAAAAATTAAACAATAACGAGGATTGTTTTGTTTTTTTTAAAAAGACACGTAATTGGTTTTTAAAGATGTCACGCAGAACATGTGTTGTGCGAAAAATATGAATATATTTACTTAACAAGGATTGTTTAAAACACTGGAGACTATTTACAAAACAACAAAATATATTTTTAAGGCTTAATTACATTTTTTGTCCTAAAACTTTTCACTTTTGATGAATTTTGCCTCCAAGCTTTTTTTTCCCTCACAAATTATATTTTAGCAATTTGTATTCCTCCCATCAATTATTTGTCAAAATACTAATAGAATGCTGGCATGACATGTCTGACAAAGGCTCAATTTCACTTTATGCCTCAACTTTTTGCTTTTAGGTGAATTTTTCCTCAAGTAACTTTTCTTGTGATTTATGCATCAATCCTTTTACATTTTGGAAATTGATGCCCTTCCATCAATTGTTTTTCAAAATACTAAAAGATTTTTCTTCATTTGTCTATCATTTGTACCCTCTAATATTATGGAAACTGGTGATTTCACTTAATATGATTGTGACCTTTTTATGTACTTTGCGATTTTTTATATATCTGTTCTATACTTCCACATGTAGACCTTGTTGACATAGATGTAGTTACCATCCTTGTTAATACTTCTTTTTAAACCTTTCTTTCAATAGAGTGTTTTTGTTGAAGATTAACATAACACTCAGAAAGAGAGTTGATAGTGTGAGCGAAGGTTTCTAAAAACTTTTTCACAAATGCACAATATAAGTTTGTAAAACTCTTTGCTCATTAATTGTGAGAGCAAAAGAATAGCGAGAAAAATATTTTATTTTTTATATTGGTTCATCTCACCCAAGCTATATCCTATTACTTTCTAACTCGTAGGTTCCACTAACATGGAAACTTATTACGCAAGTATTCTTAGTTGTCATTTCTATGTTACAAACACAACAACCTATTGTAAATATTCTTTAACTAGCATTTTCAAGTTTACAAGGTAAGGTAGTGTTTGAGTTTCTAGATGGCTCTCACAAAGAGGGTAGGTAAGTTTAGTACACTTAGAGAATTATAACTTGTTAGAGCAAGGATGTTCTAACTTAAGCTTTTGTCCCTATTCATCCACTAGACAAATGTTACAAGACTTAGAGAAAGATGATCCAAGTTTGGACATAGCTAAAACTAAGCGTGTATAGATAATATTCACATAGTTCTTTTCTTCCCTTCAAGTCTTCTTATATTTATAGGCTTCGAGATATATTTGTCATGTGAGAGCCTTATGACTTGGGCGTTGAATTTTGATCTTCGATCATTAAGTTATGGTCATTCTTTACACTTGTTTAAAGCTTCTTACTTTGTTATCATCAAAATTGTAGTGTTATACATTTATATTCATTTTTGCTTCAATAGTTGTAAGGTTAATTAACTTTTTGGTAAACTTTTTGCTTTTTTAGCTAGTTATAACTTTGTATGAAAGTGTTGTTTGATTATTAAACAAAAGTTTTGTTGAAATTATTGATCCCATTGGATCCCTCTTATAAAAATAGAATATATTTAACTTGAACTTGCATCTAAAATGGATGGATTGACCAAATGGTACAATCATATGATTCCATTTTATGATTGAATTGTGATAATTCAATACCTGAACTTTTAAACAACTAGTGAATTAATTAGTTGCCATTTTTTTAATGTATATTAACTTATATATCTCACATGAATCCAAAAATAAAAGTAACATGCTTAACATATAGCCAAGTACTTAATTATAAACTATTAGTGTTTGTATAAGCTTAACAAACATGTACTTCTACATTTAAAAATTATGCTCGATCATAAATGTGTGTTCTATAATTTAGAAGCAATCAAATTTCATAATTGAACTTTGTAGTGAGCATACTAATCCAACAGTATTACCATAATATACTTACACAAGGCCATTAACATTTTTTACACTGTAATTTGGTAAGCCATACTCCACAAACAGTTGAACGAGAGGACAAAAATCGTTAAAATAAAAAAAAAATCAGAGCATAAGTCGTGAAAAAAAAAACTTGAAAGCGAGACTCACAAGAAAAATAGTTCGAAACACAAAGTATAATTAAACTTTTATATATATATATATATATATATATATATATATATAAAAGAAGCTAAAATTATGAAAATAAATGAAGAACAAAAACATCTTTATGAAACAAAACTTTTCTTTTATAGGAACATGAACTATAATTTTTAAAAAGACACAACTTTTTATTTTTATTTTTTTATAAAGTATTGTGAACTTTTTTATATGAAACTGCAAGGAATTTTTTTAACTATAAAAATTATACCGATATAATTGCTATTGCAATTTGCAAATGTTAATAATAATCAACATGGATTTATTTTTATTTGCGCGGATATTTTCTTTTTAAAAGTATTTATGTTCAAGAAATATGAATTAATTTTTAATTTGGATTTTCTTTTATCCCAATAACTCCATATAGTGGTAAAATAGATTAAAAAAAATAAAATAAAGTTAGCAACCGTGAGTAAAATGTGAGCTTGGCCGATCCAATGTAATGAGAAGTTGAACACAGTGGAATACCTAATAGGGTGGGGCGGCAAGAGAAGAGAGATGTTGAGGCGGCGCCCGTGACCTCTCATCCCTACACAGTACATAGCAAAATCTCTCTTTTTCCAGCCATGAATTCTTCTTCCTCCGACCCATCTCAAACTCCATCGTTCGATCAATCATCATCACATTCACAGCCCCATAATGCCTATAATTATGAACACTACAACCAACCCCAATTCCAACAACACCCTCATTCTGCTGGACCCTCACACCTCCAGCCTGCGCCGGTTGCCGTTTCGCACAACCCTGTGGCAGTGGCAGTGGTAGCCGGGGCTCTCGCGCAGCTTGTTGGGAACGTTGATCGGGTGCCAATGGAACCGGTAAAGTGAATCACATGAAACTATTGTTTACACTCCCATTTTCTTTTCTCTCATTTTTCGGAAAATTATTTGGGTTAGTCCTTAAGTATCATGTGTTAGGGAACCGCGTATTGCATATTGAACTTTTTTGTCACTGTGAGTGGGATGCCAAGGATATATATAAGATGAATGTAGTCTTGTTACATACCCATGAAAATTGGGAGTAACAATGTACGATTGTATGCTCTGCTTTCTTTGGTTTATGAAAGAAAGGGAAAGAAAAGGAAGCAAGAAGAAGAGAAAATGAGATGATGTTTGGTAGTAGAAGAGAAGAGAGAAAGAAAGGAAAGAAAGTAATATATTTATAAAATGACATAAATAGTCCAATAAGATATAATAATTTTGGTTTCATCGCATGGTGTATTCATAAAAGTATAATATTATTTTTAATTTTTATCCTTTTTTAATGAGGATTTCTTTGCAATTTGGAAAGAAAAGATTTTGGTGTGGGACTATCATAATTTTCTTTTGCTTCCTTCTTTTCTTTTATACCAAATGAGAGAAAGAATTTTGATAAATGTGCACTCCTTCCATTCTTTTCTCTTCCGTTATGCATTTCAAACACGGAGTACCCATTTTTTAAATGATATCTTATCTATATTTATTATTTTTATTTAATGTTTTATGAGATGATATATTATATAAATATGTATTTATACACAACATGATGTTGTATCACCTTGTCATGTTACAATTGTATCTCGTATTTGAATTTGTATATGTGCATAATATTCACTTAGTATTCAGAAGCTGCTTTAAAATGGATGACTTACGTGCTTCACTTTCTTTTGATGATTGATTGGTTGACCTTAATAATTGGATTCGCGTTTGGTTAATGTTGATACTTCTGAGCACCCGTTTAAATATCTTCTACTGTTATTGCTATTAGCATGGTGAAGATGAGGTGTTTGGGCAAATGCTTCATGATGTTTAGATTAAAGTTCAAACGTGTAAATTGAAAAGACAAAAGCTTCAGTAAATATGAGATTTGGAAATTATAGGAAAATGTTGTTTGTGAAAATGAAATAATTTATTCGGACGTTGGGCATATATTTGGGTTGGCTTTACATTGAGTATACTTCATGATCTACGTAGGTTTAATCGTGAAATCGGTTGCATTACCTCTAAGGCATATATTAGATTTCTATCTCAGTGAGAGAGAAGGAGAGAACAAAATTATTCTAAATCTGAAATGTTTCATTCTGTTTCAAGACTACAAGTATCCCTATATTTATGATAGGGAAAATACAATGTTCAGTTGTAACTGACAGCAACCCACAACTAACCAACTGACAAATAAATAACAGAATGAAAATAAAGAGTCCAATACAGCAGGATCTCTGGACCAAATGTCAATTCTGGATAGGCATTAAATCCTCAGCTTTTAATCTTAAACTTTCAGAAGATGTTGAGAATTCTGCATATTTGGCCACAGCTCCCTAGAATGTGACCAGATCAAGACAATATTTGCATTGTATGAGCTCAAAAGTAATTGTGGCTCTTATGTTTGATACCATATCAATGCTGCATGTGGTGATTCTTTTCTGGTTGCTTTGGAACTAGGTTGGGTATTAGGTCATTCTATGTTGTTCTATTAAAAAAAAAATTATTTGCTGTACAAACCCATTTATGTTTCTACTTTCTTTGGTTCATATATATATATATATATATATATATATATATATTTTTTTTTTTTTTTTTTTTTTTTTTTTTATTTTGGTTTTTTCATCTTGAGCCACTTCTTTTTTAATTATCTTAGTATGTACTATTTTTTTATTTCCTTTCTTTCTTCCTTTATCAGAGGGCTTTTATTTACAGTTTTAGACTTAGGGAAGCATTTTTTGGGCATATTTTTGGGATCTCATTTGACAAGCATTTGTCAAGGATTGTTTGATCAATTGTATCATGTGGCTGATATATATTACTGATGGGCAGAAATTTGTCAAAACCCCTTGGTGTGACACCCTTTATCTCGCATACCAAGATCTAAATAACATAATCCTTCATAACTTTATGCCAAACATGTTCAAATAGAGAGCACCACATTCGTAACTTGAACAAAATAGCATAATCAGCGAAAATTACAAAAGAAGCAAAACTAAGGTTTTTGAAATAAATTAATAGAAACAACATTTTAATCTAGTCCTATCTATGCCCTGATGTCACATGTCCTATATGAGCAAAGCTCAACACGGAAGTCTAAGCTTCATGACCAACATCTTCAGCCTCGTGCTGATGTTCACTTGCATAACAACCAAGGGAAAATAATACAAAAAAGGAAAGGGAGTGAAAACATCTCACTTTGGTTGATAGTGTAGGAATGCGCACTGGATAGCTAAACACAAACAATACATGTATATATACATATTATAGACAGGTTAATAACAATATAACACTTCAATCATTCATGACATAAAAATTAATTAACATGTAACATTAAAATGCACATGTAATGGACACAAACTACATATGATCATGCATGTAGTCCTAATAAAACATCACATGGTGCATTGCCGTTAGCAACATACATAAAGTTGTTTAAGAGTACATGTTGGGTTATATCCTTTGCGCACTCTCACTAGAAAGACATATTAGCAGGTCTAGTCAGGATAACTAAGTTACACAAGATACGTACCATGCACACAATGGACGAGATTGAGACTTACAAATCGAGCTATCTCCAAGGATTGATCACCAAACTTTTACATAAAGGGGCCTTTCCTGGCAATGTATTCCATATCGTACTCTTAAAAACATTTATGCAAATGATACATATAAAACAAGACTCTATGCATTATCATATCACATTATCATGTCTGGTTATCATATAACCTCATGTCATTTCAACGATATCAATTTATCTCATATCATATAATAATCAATTGTATTCCTTAAAGGTTAAAATTGAATAGTACAAGAACTCACATCACTGCTAGTCATAGATCACAAGAGAGAAGTAACATAAGATTCATATTACACCAATAGAATTCATTGAACAAAGAACGAAGGAAGCACAATAGGGCAATTGGCGTTTTGTGCTAGACTCCTCAACGTGAAACTCACGCTCAGTCAGAGGGTCGCAGACAACACTTCTAGCTCTTTGCCACCTTGACTCTTAGTGCCAGAAATGGTGCTCAGCGTGGTTTCTACAATCAAAATCTCCGAAATATGCGATTTTCGTATTTGCATCCCAAATCATCAATCTACTCATACAATCGGTGAAAGTGTTTTAAATCATGCAATAAACATTAAAAAAATACAATTTACTCATACAATTACGTCTTCAAAAATCTTTTCATACAACTACAAATGTATTCCTTTAGGGTTTTCCATAGGAACATCAAAGTCTGCAATTATAATCCAAACACAAACACTACTCATACATACATACTAATTACATCAATTAGAACATTCAAGGAGAAACAGAGTGAACAAGACACATTTGGGGAAAACTCCTCACACATAGACATACAATAGAGACAAGATCGGGGGCTAATACCATTACCCAACATACACTCCCATACCCAAAGCGAGGTTTCTCACCCCCTCCTTACCTTGTTGAGCAGGAAAAGTTGGATGATTGACTCTGGAGTGGTTTCTTCCTCCTTCAGGTTCTTTGAGCTTGAAGTGTACGTGAGAAGTAAGAATGTAAAAACTGATAAACATTTTTTTATTTATTTAACTTAACCTTCCTTTAACCCTTTAGTTAAAAAAAAGTCAACCATATTTATCCCAAAAATCCCTTCTCTTATTTAATAAATAATTAAATAATATAACCTTTAATTATAAAACCTCACAATATATTCATATAAATATAATTACAATTAATTACTAAAACCAACATATTTAATTATCCCAAAATATAGTAATTAATAATAAAATAAATATTAATCATCTCTCATTAATAAAATTAAAAATACCAAAATTATTAATATTTATATTATATTTTATTAAAAACGGGGTGTTACACCTAGTGGGTGGATGATTGATAATTTGAAAATTCTGAACAACTGATCTTTGAGCTTTCCATTGTTAAATGTTTTCTTTTATTTCTATCATTCTTTCTCTCTCTCAAGCTACCTTCCCTTATGATTACGGTGCCACTTATGTGCACATTTTTAAATCTTTCCCACCTCAATCTTGATTCTTGCATTTATTTTATTTGCAATCTGCAACTTATTAATGTATGCTTGAATTCTATTTGAATGCTTATCTGCAGATTGGGCCATCTCAGTTCAGAGGTAGAGGTCACAGGGGTGGTAGACCATTTAGAGGCTTTGGGCGTGGTCGTTTCAGTCACCACCGTGGTAGGGGACGTGGAAGGGGTGGTGATGGTAGACAGTTTTCATCTCATTCTTCTGAATCCACCATTGCGAATAGTTCAGATGCGCCTGCTGCTGATGGAGTCACTTCAGTCTCTGGGCAATCATTTTTACATAATCCAGCACAAGTGCCATCTTCACCATTGCAGGCACCACAATGTAAGTTATGGTGTGAAATTTGTAAGGCCGAGTGTAATACTCCAGAAATAATGGAACAGCATAAGAATGGAAAGCGGCATAGGAAGAATTTGCTTGTGCATGAAGAAGTACAGAGACGCAAAGCTCTAAATGGACAACTGAGTGGAAATATTTCTACCTCTCAATCAAATTTAACAATCCAACCCGAGGAAGTTCAGGAATCTGAGAAGAAAGGATTACCAGAAGATAATATGGGTTCTGAAGCCACATCTGATAATCACAATAATGAAACTGAGCTTCAGAATAATGTTGCAGCAGGGGTGTCTGAAGAGCCTCAGCAGGAACCTAAAGCAGATGAGCCTGCCATACACGGTCATGGATTCAAGCGTAAGATGAGAGGAGGCAGAGGAGGTAAATACATGAGGATTGATGATGGGTCAAGAAAACCTTTGGAACCTCCAAAGCCTAAGCAGGTCACGTCTTTCATATGTGAGTTGTGCAATGTTAAATGTGATTCACAGGTTGTCTACAATAGTCATTTGATAGGGAAAAAACACTTGTCAAATTTCAAGCGTGTCTATGGTCACCAAGCTATGAATCGAGAAGCAGGGATCCAACCACACCCTCCTGTGATCAATACTCTATCAAATGCTAATAATTTTCCAGTCCAACAAGGTACTAGTGTTCCAACAGGTGTTAATGAATTTCTGGCTCAGTTCTTGATGAATGTGCTATCCAATATTCAAGTACCAGCAACGGCACCACTGTCAGGTCCTGCAGCTGCTCAGATACAAGTGCCAATATTGATGGCTGGATCAAGTCATGAACCGACCTCTCAAAATTCTTCACAGACACAAGTCTCAGATTCCTTAGCACATTTTAATAGTTCTACTGGGGAAACAAAAGTTAAGATGTCATCTGTTGCACTACAGCTGGATGAGACTGCATGTTCAAGTAATAACAAAGTTCAGATTTCATCTGTCGCTCTGCAGCTGGGTGTGACTGCAGGTTCAAGTAATAATGTTAACACTGAAACTGCAGATGGAGGACCTTCAAAGGAAGAAACGACAATTTCCCAGGATAGTTCAGTTATGACACCAGCAGAAAACCCAGTTGCAGCAAATAAACAAGTACCTTCATAATGGGAAGCTCCAACATCATAGACATTTAGCAAGGCTAAAGAAACTGTGATCATTTTCTTTTCTCTTCCATGATTTCATTTTTCATACTTTCACGTGATTACAAGTTTATATTTTAGCACTGTTTGAACTAACATAGACGGGGTTCACACACCTAGGCTTTATAACATGATCTTTAAGTTAAAATGTTAAGGTCATGTCTACTTTGTATTAAAAATTGTCCTTAATTTGTACATGCCAGAAATGCTCTATGATTTGCTGTTGATGATGTAAGGGTACATGCCAGAAATTTAATGCTGTGCTGCAACTCCTTTGATGCAGCTGCTGCAACATTGTATCTATCTATCATTGATCTAATGTGGCTGATTAAAGTTGGATTAAATGCGAGGATTGACGCAAATTTTGGATCGGGTCTTGATTGTAGAGCCATGTAACTTTTTGTGCAGCCAAAGAAAAAGTTTGACAAAAATTCTTTGCAGTTTCATGATTGTAAAGCAAGGAAAATGTTACTACCTTCGTCTCTAATTATCAAATCTTTTAGTTAAATTACACTCTTTAAAAAAAAACTTAATTTAGCTAAAAACATTCAATTTTTAAATAATTTAATTTTTTTTTATAATTAACTTTTTCTCTTTTTTATTTAATCATTTCTCATTTAACTAATTAATATTTGGGAGAGATATATGTGTTTATTTATCTTCTCAAATATTAGTAAGAGAGTTTTTATTTAATTAGAGAAGATATAATTAATGTAATTAACAATTAGAAAAAAGTCTAAGAAAAGGACAAGTGAAAAGGATTTTATATATAGAGATAGGGGTAGTACAACTAAATAAGCTTCTTACACACTCTTGCTAGTGGGACAAATTACAATACTAGAAGTCAACCCATTCCAACACTAGTTAGTTTACGTTTATGTGATTTGAGTATTAATTTTACATGCAACAAAGTAATGACTTTTGGTTTCAAATGTTCAAAGCCCTATGAAACTCTTATTGCTAGGTTCTTATCTGGTTTTTAAGTTTAAACTCTCATTGCTTATAAGAAACTTGTATTGGAGCATGTTGACATAGCAGGTCAAATTGCTAAAATTTAAGCACCATTGCTTATATAAGAGACGATTGCTTAAGAATAAAAAAATAATTTAATGTTTCCTTCCTTCATTGATGCCAACAACTATAATAATTAAATTTTTTAAAATTTATTAAAAATGAAGTATGGGTGATTAAAAAGTGAAGGTGCTTATAAGCAACTTTTATTAGAGTAAAAATTATAAAAATGTAATATAAGTTGCTTATGAGTGACATGGCAGTGTGTGATCCATTTAAAGTGGATGAGAGTTGTTTATAAACAACTCCCATTGTAGATGCTCTCATTTGCTTCACATAGTTACAAATGTTCAACTAATTCACATTAAAAGAAATTCTATGTCAACAATAACAATGCCTTGTCTCATTAGATGAGGTTGACTATGTGAAGAATCTAGTGGAGTAGAAGAAAACTGAATTTATTCAATTGGTTTCATTGCTCCTCCAATCTTCATCCATGGATTCAAACTTCAAATAATCAAATGAAAATGGATAGGAAGAAGGTGATTGTGTGCATCATTTCCAAGGGAAGTAAGAGAGATTAGTCTTGCGAGAAAATTTCTTGATAAATGATCTTTAGGAAATAAATTTTTGAAGGAGTAGAGAATACACCTTGGTTCAAAGTCTACCCTAGATAGATCTCTAGAAATGAGAATGGAACTTAGCATATCTATCAGACACATTTGTCCTGGGTAATACAAGAAATCCAACAATCTCTCTAAATGAGTCATTTTACTAAAATAGTCCACCACCACAAAAATGAAATCGATTTCCTTTGGGTTCTAGGTGTCGGAGATGATGGAGATCATTGAGATGACAAGAAGACTCCTCAAGAAGTTTTAGTTTTCATGATATAAATGTATAAATGATGTTTGAGCCTATTCAAAAGGATATTGTATTGATTGTAATATATATAGGCTTGTGTGTGTTTCTTTATGTTTGATGATGATAATGAATGCTTAATTCAAGAACCTGTCAATTTTTTAAAGAAACCAAGAATTTGCTTTTTAAGTATTTCCATGAGTAAACATGAAGTAATAGATTATCTTGAAAAGGGTAATTTACTACCAAGTGTTTAAACATAGAAATATGACTTGATTCAAACAAGAGTTTTCAAGGTAACTTTGTTAATCAAATTACCATTCAGGGTAATAAATTACCAAACCTATTTCTGGAAAAGGATATTCAAATGTCCTCTATGAGGTAACAGATTACCAAAGTTGGTAATAGATTAAAATAGAGTCTCTTTCTTGGAATCAGGCTAAAAAAATGAAGTTTTCATCATGTTAATCGATTACCAATATAGATAATCGATTACCACAAAGTGAAAGGCAATTCTGGGACTTTAGAATCATGGGTTAATTGATAACCGCCTTAGATAATCGATTATCCTGGACAATTTTATGTTCTGGTTCAATTTTAAAGAGTAGGTAATAGATTACTTTTGTTATTACTCTTTATAACTGAATCACATCTTGCACTCTATAAAAACAATCTTTTTGAAATTAAAAAGAATCTTTTAGAGAATTGTTAAAAAATCTTTTGAAAAGATAACACTTTTGAGAAAAGGAATATTTTTAGAAACAAGATTAAAGTGTTACAAAAGAAATTTTCTAAAATTTCAAGAAGTACAAAGACAAAACATGAATTCTTGAAAGAAGAAATTCAAGAACCGTATTCAAGAGTGAAAGATCAACATCTTCACAGAATTAGGTGACATTACTCTGATCTTTAAACTTGTATTTTCGTTTTAATTGGTGTATCTCTTGAGATAAGGTATCTCAACGAGAGATTTTGAAATCTTGAGTAGGGTTTCTCAAGTAATTTTTGTGGGGTACAAAAATTTTGATTGTTTTCAATCTTGTGGTTTCAAGATTGATGTGTGTTTAAATTCTTGTATTATTATGTGTGTAAGGTGTTTGTAAAATAATATTATAGTGAATGATCTTTGGTTTAGTGGGGTGCTAAATCAAGGAAAACTGGATGTAGGCCAAGTGGATGGCTGAACCAATATAAATTTTTGTGTTCTTTATCTTCTTATCCTTATCTTTAAGAATCTTGTCGATTTCTTATTTTAAAGATTTTAAAGATTTGAGAAAAACAAAATTTCAATTACAGTACCAAATCTGATCTTTATCCTTATAATTGAATTTTTTTTTTTGAAAGAAGATTGAATTATAATTGAATTTGATTAAAAAGAAGGTAATATAAAATCAACCTTGATTACAAGTGATTGATTCGCTGCATATACTTTGATATTCTGCTACGTTAGTAATAAGCCTTGTAATCTACTGTTATTTGTTACTCAAATTGCTTAAAGGTTGTATTTTAGATTTCTTGATAGGTTATTTTTCAAGAATTGTGGAAAAGAGAGTTATCTTAGGATAGAATCTATTCAACCCCCCTTCTAGATTCTAGTATAGTGGGACCAACACTAGGGAGACCAAAAGCTTCCCTAGTAGAGTCACCATCTGTTGGAACCCAAAAAATTCTGATCTTACCCACAAATGGTTTAGGCTTCCTTTTGAAAATCTCACCAATTAAGGAATGCTCAAAAACTAGACTAATCCCTAATTAATGATTTTAAAAAGAGTTCATGGAGTCGCCACCGATGTTTTGCTCAAAACATTGGAAAAAGGAAAAAAAAATTTCTTAAAAATACCAAAAATGGTCTTTACAACCACAATTTGGGTTTGGGGGTCGATTATATGTAGGGAAGGTGTTAGGCACCCTACGACGCCCTAAATCGGTACCCTATGATGAAATTAGCGCAATCAAGAATGATAATTTAAATCTTAGTTCCCTTTATTAATGATTATTTACATGCTTGAATTTCAAATTACACGATTAGCCTTAATGCGTCTACATGATTGCTTTTATTTATGATAGAAGAAGTAGATATTAAGGAAGGAGTTTGATGGAAATACCTCTTTGAACAAGCTTTTATAAATGCTTCAAATATGGGGGTCTTAAGGCATTTTTTGGTTGCCTTTCACACTACAATACGCCTCATAACTTTCAAGAAATACAAGAAGGAGAAGAGAGAGAGAGAAATTTGAATTGTATAGGGTTTTAGAAGGTAAATTTTTTGGTCCTTTCTCATCCCCGAGCACTGTGCACGAGCCTATTATTTATAGGCATGAAAATATACCACAATGGGCCGTTTTGATATCAGAATGAGTTGTTCTGGGCCTTTCTATTACAAACAAAATTTAAAATTGGAACGGCCCGTTCCCAAGGTGGAACAGCCCGTTCTGGATTTGAATTATGCATGTAACAAACTAGGTCAGAATGGGGCATTTTGACCTAGGGTTACAAGCTTTTTTATAAGCGGTTTGGGAATGGCCTGTTCTGGGCTCCTAATTTTGGCCCTATATTTTTTGGGGCTTTGGATGTCATGCTAGCCTACTTTGATGTCGTTTTCGGGCCTTTGGGAACTCCTTCTTCTTATGCTAAAGTCTATTTCCTTGTTTATATGTCCCAGACAAAATTAGGTGTCTACATTACTACCCTAGCAATTGGAGTCAATCTTTGGACATTTGGACTATGGTTTAGTGTGTTGAGTCAAACGAAGAAATTCCCAGCTAGGTTTTGAATGAGACAAATATAATACATGTTGTGATTCCTAACAAGTGTGTTAGTGTTTCAGAAAAACATAAGTACAGGAAAGTCAAAGGAATAGGAAAGTGCATGTGCCAAGAGAAAGGAAGAAAAACATCAAGTCAGATGAAAGGAAAGCCAATATAAGAAGAAGCGTACTACTAGTCAAAGTCTTGAAGCATCAGATGAAAGGCCAAAACAAGACCAAATCAAGAACAAGACAAAAATGGATTAAACATCAAAGAAAGCCCAATGGTCAAATCAGATGAAGAATAGTCAAAACAAGACACGTCAGACAAAGAACAAAGTATGTCCATCTATAACATTGAACAGATAAAAAGAAAGTCAAAGCATTAAACTCAAATGCTCAGATGAAAATCACAAATTGAGACGCATAGGACTCATAAACACGGATGAAAATTGCCACGAAAGCACTTAAAGAATTAAGTCTCAAAGGACAAATTAAGGCATCATCCACAATCACTCAAATGCTCTCAACGTAAACGCATGATCAAATGAAAAGAAGAAGAAAGAAGAAGAAAAGAACGCAACAACAAAAGCATGCATGTGTAAGAAACAATACATCACTTTTTCAGATAAGGACAACATTCTACAACTACATGACCAGAAAATGACAAAAAGGTTCCTAGGTCTCTACTAAACTCAGACACAACTGTTAACAAGGCAAAGAAGACTTCACACAAGGTCAATC